CACCTAGAACCCTAGCAGTGCCAGAGGTGGAGAGAGGCTTGTAAGTTCTTGGGCTATGCAGTGAATCCACTCCCGCTCCCTGCCCCCACCAACCCCAACTAGTTCAGCAAATTAGTATGCAGGAGAAAATGGACACATTGGTACTGGACTTGTGGACATGGGCCAGGTCATAGAGACTCTTTATTCTTTAGAGGTTAGGCTTTATGAAGTGGTATATAAACAAGTCTTTGAAGGTTTTTAAAACAATATTATATTTTCTTGATACTAAGTTTGTACATGGTATATCATGTGTTGTGTCCCAGGAGAACATAGAGATAAATAAATTCTTTAAGCTCTATGTTCTGCAGTTAAGAAACCCTAGCATTTTTCTGAAACTAGGTTTTCTGAAACTCATGTAGTGCAGAAGTTTATGTCCTGTTCCTAAGGACATAGTTCGAGTGACCCTGCTTTAAAGGGTTGATGGTAATAGTCATCATATTCAGATGTAGATTGCTCACTGGTGTCAGTCAAGAGGCAAACTCACAGAATAAGAGCACTGGTCAGACCTGTAGGAGACCTATGCTAAAGAAATTGTCTAGCATTAAAATGCAGTGTTTTTGACTGGGGGGGCTCCTAAACAGTTTGCCATCTTTTGGAGCAAGAACGACAACAGCACAACCAGTTAAAACATACATGGCAGAAGGCCAACGACCAGTTTCTGGAATCTCAGCGTTTACTGATGAGAGACATGCAGAGAATGGAGATTGTGCTAACTTCTGAACAGCTCCGACAAGTTGAAGAAATGAAGAAGAAAGATCAGGTGAATAGGTTTTTTTTTTTTTAATATTTATTTTATTTCTAATTATACATATTTTTGTGTATTTGTGTGTGTGTGTGTGTGTGTGTGTGTGTGTGTATGGATGGATGGATGGGTTGGTTTGTGCACTTGGCTGCACATGCTGGGAGCTGGGAGCATTAGATCCCTTAGAGTTAAACAGGTGAATGTGAGTTTCCTGACATAGGGGTTTGGAACCAAACTCAGGTACTCTGTAAGAGCAGCAGGCCTTCTGAAAACTCTGAGTCATCCCTCCAGTCCCAAATAGATTGTTTCTTAGGTATCATTGTTAATAATCGTGATCCCCTCTATATTGTCTGTGTTGGAGGCTAACCTAAGCTGGAGCAAGATGTTTTGTGCTACTTTATTATCATTCATTTTTGATGTTGGGAAATCAAACATAGGAACCTTGTTCGTGCTAGGCAGATGCTGCCCCATTGTACATCTCTACACTTACTGATTTTATTTTTAACATTACTTTGAAAAAAGTAGCTTCTCATTTCCTGTGGAAGCAAAAGCAAAACCTCTTCTCCAAAGTAACATATCGTATGACTTAAATTTTGAAGTCAGGGCATTTTCAAAATATATATGTTAGATTAATCCAGCAACATTTATAATCAAATGTCTTTTAGCAGCTGTTGCTCCTTCCTCAGCATCAAACAATTCAAAGACGACATAATAACATACAGTATCCAGACTCTCTGTGTATTTTTTATCTTTACATGGCTTTATTTTAAATTCTTTTTTTTTAATTTTTATTTTTATTTTTTTGGTTTTTTGATAATAGGTTTCTCTGTGTATCTTTGGCTGTCCTGGCACTCACTCTGTAGACCAGGTTGTCCTTGAACTAACAGAGATCCTCCTGCTTCTGCTTCCCTGGTGCTGGGATTAAAGGCATGCACCCCCCTCCCCCGTGTTGAAGCCATGTTTAATCCCGTGTTGGGATTAAAGGTGTGTGTCACCACACCCAACTACTGTCTTTCTTTTTTATTTTAAGGACTTTATCCTTTTTCTTTTCTCTCTCAAGCCTACATATATTTTTAAACACACTGTGGATTCATTCTGTGTTAAGAAAAATCATGTTCCATCAAGGAGGACCCCCCCTGAGAAATCTCTGATAGGAGTGTATGGCCTAGATGTCTGAGTTCTACATCCAGAACAGCCTCAAGACTGCTGGCTGAGATGACCAAGCCTCACAGAATACTCCAGTCAGGACTTGACCATAATTCAAATTTTTTTTTTAAGCTCCCTGTAAGATTATCAACATCCCCAATCAGCAGGAAATAGCCTGGAAAACTACGCCTGCATTCCCCCAAAAATGGATATGGATATTTATCTTTATTTAGAGTGTTGGTTACAAGTTGTTATGGATAATATTCTGGGGAAAAAAAAAAGCTGAACAAAGGAAATTAGATTCAGAGTTCTTGTTTTGAAAAAAAAAAGTGCAGGAGGAATTTCTGTGGAAATATGGTCTTGTATTGTTTTTAATAAAATGACCAGTAGCCAGGAAGTATAGGTGGGGTGATGAGAACAGGAGAATTCTGGGAAGAGGAAAGGGTCAGTTTGCAGTCATCACCTAGACACAGAGGAAGCAAGGTAAGAATACCTTGCTGATAAGAATAATGGGCTAATTTAAGATGTAAGAATTAATTAATAAGAAGCCTGAGCTACTAGGCCAACCAGTTTATGATTATTGTACAAACAAACAAACAAACAAACCCCAGTATGACAAAGTAGCTGAACAGATCCGGTGGGACACACTTACCAGCCCCAGCCCTGGGTCTGCAGTTGGGGAGTAGCAAGACTCGACTCAACACTTGAAGACTCAAAACACTTGAAGGATTTGGCCAGCTTCCTAAATTATTTCATCCTGAGAAGAAACTGATTTAGAAATGGCCCTCTTTGGAGACTGAAGGATGCAGCAATATGTATTTATGGGAAAATGTTCTCAGTAGTGTGCAGTTCTCTTAGGACTTCTGAGTTTGCAGAGTAGGCCAAATTTTTGGTGACTTTGCTCTAAAAATTTGATAGGGTAGGGGCTGGGAGTGGTGCCCTACACCTCAAATTCCAGCACTTTGGAGATTGAGGCAGGAGAATCATGCTCTCAAGGATAGCCTAGGTTATGTAGTGAGATCCTGTCACACAGCGAACACCACTGCCCAAACAGTAAGAGGACAGAGTGTGGAAGATCATACATAGATGTTCAGAATGTTCTGTTTCTCATTATTTGAAAATTGCTTCAGTTAACTAAACACTTCCTCATAGAAAAAGTTGCTTGTTTCAAATACAAAGGGAGGGATTTAGAAATGGCTCAATTGTTAAGAGCACTTGTTCTTGCAGAGGTCTTAGGTTCAATTCCTAGCACCCACATGGTAGTTATCACCTTCTCTTGCTCCAGGGAATCTGGTGCTCTGACCTCCTCTTCTGATCTCTGAGAGTATCAGGCACTCATGTGGTGCACATACATCTGTGTAGGGAAACCACTAACACAAAATAAAATGAATAAGTCTAAAAAGTTCTTTTCAATATAAATGAAATAACATCAAATGCTCAACCAAAAAAAAATCTTCCTTGTCATCTCCCACTGCTTTTTAAGTATTATTTTATAACTTAATTTCCCAATAGCTTTATTCCAGGTGTGTATTTATTCTAGTTCTGTCTTCTCTTGTTAACTAGTAGTGGAGGAACCATAATTGACTTAGTCTTCTGCTGTAATGGAATTCTAGAGCCACCTCCAGTCTTGTTCTTTCGTAGTTTCAGATAGTGTCACAATTAGTACCCTTTGGCATATTGTATATATCTTCAAGTATTCCCCAGGATAGCTGTGTAAAAGTGTTCTCAACTTTTCTAGGTATTAAAGCATTTTAGTTTGCTGGTTGTGACTTAGGTTAGATTTTTGTTTCTTAATTTTCTATATTAAATCTTTTTCTTTTAATTCATACTTAAAGTATAGATTTTTATCTCATTAAATAGTCTTTTACTTTGAAGATAATTGCTGAAGCCCTTCATTTTCTTTCTTTCTTTCTTTTTTTTTTTGTGTTTTTTTCGAGACAGGGTTTCTTTGTAGTTGGAGCCTATTGTGGAAGTCGCTGGCCTTGAATTTACAGAGATCCACCTGCCTCTGCCTCCCTGGTGCTGGGATTAAAGGTGTGCACACACACCCCCCCCCTCCGTCGAAGCCCTTCTTGAATATTTGTTGTGTTAGTGTGTGCCAAGGCTTTATAAACTTCATCTCAAGCATTGCTCAACAAACAAACGCTCTCCGTGAGGAGGCATTACATAGCCATACTTGTGTTGTAGATTAAGAAGCAGGCAGAGGAGGTGATGCAGTGCCCCAGATAGAGCAGTTCAGTCCAGTTTAATTACTTAATCACCCACCTTTTTGTTCCTGGCCTTCACTTTTTGTGTACCCACCCACTTAGCAGTCTTGTCAGCCTTTTGCTGGCACAGGTCTACTCTTCTAAGCCTCTGTGTTTTATAAATGCTTTATTTTTCCCTGGAGCCCATGGTGATTTCTTACTTAGCTGGCAAATACATCCTATTGTGTTTTAAGATTCAGCTCTAGCAATTACATCCTTTGGGTCCTCTTTGCTGGCTCCTTTAAATGAAACCAGTTTGTGCTTTTTCCTCCTGCACAATTCTGTGTGTTCTTGTAATTATGTTTGTTTCTCCTCACTAGAGAGAAAAAAGTGTAGTCATCTTTGCTGGGTAAATTATCACTTGAACTTGGATCATCTTTTTGTATTTTATATGTCTCCCTTATCCTATTCTCTCTCTCTCTCTCTCTCTCTCTCTCTCTCTCTCTCTCTCTCTCTCTCTCTCTCTCTCTGTCTTTTTCTGTCTCTCTCTGTCTCTCTCTCTCTCTCTCTCTCTCTCTGTCTCTCTCTCTCTCTCTCTCTGTATTATAAGATAGGGTCTCATATGTAGTCCAGCCTAACTTTGAATTTGTGTGTCTTACCTCAGCCTCCAGATTGTTGGGATTACCGCCATCAGTAGTACCAGCGACTGTATATACTTTGAATGGGAGTATAATGTCAGACTAACTTTTCTTGTTTTCTGTAGCGAGATGGGATTGTCCTATGTAGTTTTCCTGTTTTGGATTATCTGTAGAAGGGAGTTGCTTTGTCTTTGTTTGCCTTTACTATCATAGTGTACTTTTTTTAAAGCTACTTTCTGATTTTTTTATTTTGTGCTTTGTAGGAAGAGGGCCCACTTGTTTGTCCCTGCTGCCCACCTAGCTAGCCTAGCCCCGAAATAACCACACAGAAGCTGTATTCATTAAGTCACTGTTTGGCCATTAGCTCTAGCTTCTTATTGGCTAACTCTTATATTAATTTAACCCAGTTCTATTAATCTGTGTATCGCCATGTGGCAGTGGCTTACTGGGTAAAATTCCCAGCATCTGTCTCTGACAGTTCCATGGCATTCCTCTGACTCTGCCTCCTTTCTTCCAGCATTCTACTTAGTTTTCCCCACCTACCTAAGTTCTGCCCTATCAACAGGCCAAGGCAGTTTCTTTATTCATTAACCAAGAAAAGAAACACACAGACAGAAGGAACTCCCACACCAGTGCTTACAGTAGTAAAATGGTGAGGTCCCATATACTGATTACAGAACAAATAATCTTGTTTCTAATTTTCTGTTCTCATAAAGATCTCTGATTTTAACTTGTTATGAGTGGTCAAAGAACTGTATGACTCTTATGTGTAGATTACTTGGGTATAACTAAATAATGCTTTTTCTTCCTTTTAGGAGGAAGATGAACAACAGAGGCTTAATAAGAGGAAAGATAACAAAAAAACAGATTCTGAAGAAGAAGTAAAAGTACCAGTAGTGTGTGCTTTACCTCAAGAAGAATCTTCAGCAGCGTTATCACAAGAAGAGGTGAATCTATGGTTACTGTACTCTGTGTTGCGGGGAGAGGCTGAGGGGTTAAAGAAACAATATTTAAAAAAAATTTATACATAATGTCATAATTTTTGGTTTATTTCTGTACTAGTCAGTTACCTTGTATATTAGTGAGGGTATTGATTGTTGTAATTAAACACCACGACCAAAAGCAGTTTGGAGAGGAAAGTGATTTTAGTTTACAATTCTCAGGTCACTCTCCATCAGGAACTCAGGGCAGGAACTAGGAGTCAGAAACTCATGCAGAGACCATAGAAGAGTGCAGCTGCTGGCTTGCACCCCAGGACCACCTGCCCAGGGCTGACACAGCCCACAATGGATTGGGCTATTGCACAAATCAGTTAATCCATAAAATGTCCCACAAGCTTGCCACAGGCGGGTGCTCTGGTGGGAGTATTTTTTCTTTGTTTGAATTGACGTCCACTTTCCCAAGTGGCTCTAGCTTGTGTCAACCAGAAGAAAACTAACCAGGACACTTTGTTGACATGAAAAGTCTATAGGTGGAAATTTGGTAATATAGCAACTTTGTTTTTAGTTGCTCTTGCAACATTATAGCACTATTTGAAAACATATTCAAGTTTCATTCTCCACTTAAAATTACCAGAATCTCATTTCCAAGATGTCATACATTAGAATAGGTCCTTAAATGAAATGGTTTTTGTTTTGTTTTGAAGCAGAATTGGAGGTTTATTAAAGATTATTTTTTTTGAGATATTATTAGGATTTCTTCATAGTTTTGGAGCCTATCCTGGAACTAGCCTAAATCTTGTAGACCAGGCTGGCCTCAAACTCACAGAGATCTGCCTGTCTTTGCCTTCCGAGTGCTGGGATTAAAGGAATGTGCCTCCACCTCCCAGCTAGACCACTCTTGTATGAAAAAGTACCACTGGCTATCATAACCTACATCAGTGAGTAGAAATTCTTTACATAGACTATTGAAACCATTTGCAAGAAGAATTTTCTTTCTAATTTTAATTTTTAAAATTGGGTGTCTATGCACACATGTGTTTGTATGTGGGTTTATACATGTGTTCGGGTACCTACAGAGTCTAGAAGAAGTCATCATAGCCTCTGGAGCTAATATTTAAAGTGGTTATTACCTGCCTGACATGGACTCTGGGAACCAAACTCAGGTCCTCTGCAAGAGCAGCAAGTGTTTTTAAGCCCCAAGAAGGGTTTTCTTTAAAACAAACAAGCAAGCTACAAACATTTATTTTAGTATATGTAGTGGGTGGGGTGGGGAGCACTCAGCATGCATGTTGAGGTCAGGACTGTTTCTTCTTCCCATCTTGTGGAACCGGGGTGTCAAACTTAGGTCTTTGGGCTAAGTGCCTTTACCTACCGGTCTATATATTTCTCTGGGCCAGAAAGAGTCTCCTAATAGCCATATTAGTCATTCTCTTGTGCCAAACTGCCCATCTCATATGTTGGTTCTTTCATCTGGAGTGCTTGCCTTCTGGTGTCTGACTATTAAAATTCTCTTACTCATCCTTCATAGCTCATGCTGATGCTTCCCTTTTAATAAAGGAAATACTTCTTTACCTAGTGCCTTTGGAATCAAAATTAAAGACCCATTTTTCCAGTTGAATGACCCTTCTTGCTTTACCCTTTGTTCTTACTTCACTATAATTAGGCTTAGCTGCTTGTAGTCCATACTTGTGTTTATGCTATCCTTGTTGCTTACGATTTCATACTTATGATGACCACAGGTACAACTCAGTAGTAGAGCGCTTGCTTAACATGTGTAGGGCCCCGGTTTGATCTCCAGCATTGGGAAGGTGCGGGTTCGTCATACACATTCCCCTAACTTTGACCTCCTTTCCCAGCTGGTGAATAGTTGCAGACAGGTTGAGTACATTTCCTAACATATCTTTTTTTTGTTTGTTTGTTTGTTTTTTTTTTTTTTTTTTTGTTTTTTGTTTTTCGAGACAGGGTTTCTCTGTGGTTTTGGAGCCTCTGTTGTGATTAAAGGCAAGCGCCACCACCCGCTTCTGGTCTGCATTTTTTAATACTTAGACTCTCAGAAGAATGTCTCTTTTTGTTAAGCCAAATAGTACATGACATTTGCATCATGCAGTAATCTGTCCAGGAATGTTTAGAAAACAGGAAAGAAGAACTTGTGATTTATAAAGTAGTGTTTCTGTTATTTTTGCTTCTGTTTTTCACAGTTTTCTCATAGTGTGCGCATCATTTCCCAGCCTTTAAAGTGTGTTTTAGACTTTGTGCTGTAGGATGCAGCTCCATGACAGAGTGTTGACCTGCGTGCATGAGGTTCTAGGCTTAGTTCTTGGTAGCAGCAAGTCTCAGCTCTGCTGTGTATATGCGAGTTTTCAACTTCCAGACCTGATAATTTTCATATTCAGTGTTGAATATAATTGTTTTATGTTCAGAATCATGATAATTTAATTTGGCTTGTAAATTAAAATTAATATGGAATGCTTTGGACATTTAATTACTAAGTATGCTTAATATTTTTGAACCCTCCCATGTCACCTTTATTTTGGTACTTTGAATATACTTTTTCACTATGAAAGTAATAGGAAAATATTACGGAACATTTCTGAAGTGCAGGACTGACCATACAATTGAAAATAATGTGTTGACCACCAGAGAAAATGTCTCTAATATTTTGGCATGTGTCATTCTCTTTTTTTCTGTTTCCTTTTCCAAAGATAACATAAATATGTTCCCATTTGTTTTGTTTGTTTGCTTTGCTTTATTTTGTTTGAGACAAACCTTTGTGTAGCCCAGGCTGACCTTGAACTTCTGAGCTTTGTGCTTCAGCCTTCGTGCTGGAATTAAAGAGATGTGACATCATGCCTGGCTGATACTTTGCAAACATACTCTACATGTGACTGCATGCTTATGTATGTTCCTCCTCATTTAAATCTACTGTATAGTGGTATTTTATTTGTATTTTAATAAATAAAACTTTCCTGAAGATCAGAGTATAGAGCTAAATTACTAGAGGCCAGGCAATGGTGGCACACACCTTTAACCCCCAGAACTCAAGGCCACCCTGGGCTACAGGAGAGTGAATCAGTCTAAAAGAGAATTCACACCAGATCCAGCACTTGGGATGGCACTAGAATGTCATTGGGAGTCCCCGTACTAGAGAGGAATATAGGAGTTCAGTGCAGTCAGCCTGAGGTTTGGTGGAGAGCATTGCAGTCTGCAGTCACGTTGAGTACAGGATCACCCCTCTGTTTGTCTGAGGTAAGAGCTTTCTAGTGGCTTGCCTGCTTTGCTTTTCTGATCTTCAGCTTGAACCCCAATATCTGTCTCTGGGTTTTAGTTATTTGTGCTACACTACGTAAAGGTTTTGGAGCCTTTAAAATGTTTTAACCCTTAATAGAATTTTAATATGTAAATGTACCATAATCCCTTTGGCCATTTTTCACCAGGTTTTAATTTATGGGGTGCCTGACAGCCAGAAGATGTCAGTCCCTTTGGAACAGGTTGCTATTACACTTTTCTGTCTTTTCTTCCCAAAACCTAGTATGTGTTAAACAAGTGTTGTGCACTGATATGCATCCCCTGCTCATGGTTCTCCTAGAAATGAGAGCCATAGCATGCTTATAGGCTCAGGGAGAAACTCAGGACTAACTAGTTTGAATAATTCTGGCAGCCTTTGGGTCCCTTGCTTTAGTTATTTGGGACCTACCTGGGTGATTTGGGGCAGGGGAAATAATGGCTTGGTGAAAATTTGATAAAGGAATGGTTGGGGGTATGGGCTTGAGATTGTCTAGTTTGCATGTGAGGATTATCCCCAAGCAGGCAGTAGCTAGTAGATAAGTAGCCATCTAATAAAGCACTTATCACATTGGTTATATTTTTGCTGCTGTAAATGTTTTCATTAATACTGTAATGATAGAAATTTTTTGCACAAAAATAATCACTGTAATGTATGTCATTATTTAAGTCCTTAGGAAAAGAAGACTAAGTTTAAAGGCGCTAACATTTTTAAGATAATGTTAAACATTGTAGAATCATATATTACAAAGACCACAGATTAATATTTTGTTTTTGTATTATTATTTATCTGTGTGGGAGCATATGTTTCCTGACACATGTGTGGAGGTAAGAGACAACGTGTGAAATTGGGTTTCCTTCTTCTACCATGTGGTTTCAGGAAAAGCCCAGATCATCAGACGTAGTGGCAAGTGACCCCAAAAGCTGAGCTGTCTTGGTGGCCCAGGAACGCTTTTCACTTCCTTTTTTTGTTTGTTTGTTATGCCAGCACCACTTGTTAAATATGCTTTCTTTTTTTTTTATTTGATATTTTTTGCTTCTTTATCAAAGATCGGGTGTTCGAAGATGTCTGGATTGATATCCGGGTCTTCTGTTCGGTTCCATTGGTCCTCCTGTCTGTCCTTATGCCAATACTAGGCTGTTTTGGTACTGGAAACTACATCTTAAAATTAGGAGTTGTATTTTGTTCATACATCTAACCTGTGCCTTATTTGTGCCCAACATACAGAAGACCTTTATTTGACAAATGGTTGTTCAGTGATTATGTAAGGCAACAAAATGATTATTATGTTATGTGTGGCAAAATATATATAGTATGTGGTAGCTTTTTTTCTTTTGGGGTTCAAAGAATTATCTAAGTTGAAAATACGTGTTTTTTGTATTTCAGGAGCATTTAGACAGCACCCATGGGTCAGTCCATTCCTTAGATGCAGACTTGCTGTTACCATCTGGAGATCCATTCAGTAAATCGGACAATGACATGTTTAAAGATGGACTCCGGAGAGCTCAGTCTACAGACAGCTTGGGAACTTCAAGCTCATTGCAATCAAAAGCATTAGGCTATAACTACAAAGCAAAGTCTGCTGGAAACTTGGATGAGTCGGATTTTGGACCACTGGTTGGCGCAGATTCTGTGTCTGAGAACTTTGATACTGTGTCCCTTGGGTCACTGCAGATGCCAAGTGGATTTATGTTAACCAAAGATCAAGAAAGAGCAATTAAGGCAATGACGCCTGAACAGGAGGAGACAGCATCCCTCCTCTCGAGCGTCACCCAAGGTATGGAGAGTGCATATGTGTCTCCCAGTGGTTACCGCTTAGTGAGTGAGACCGAGTGGAATCTCCTGCAGAAAGAGGTGAGTTTTTCTGACTTTGTTTCTTTTGTTCTCTTTTTGTTTTGAGACAGTTTCGTGTAGCTCAAACTAGCCTCCAGTTTATTATACAGTGACGATGACCTTGAAATTCAGAGGTGACTCTTGATCTTCCTCCTGCATCTCTCCAGTGCTGGGATTATAGGTGTGTGCTACCAAAGCTTGCTCTCTCTGGCACTCTGAGGGGTTAGGTAACCTTGGTATTCAATATTGTGTAGATCGTTCATGGAGTCAGTGCAGGCATGTGCTGCCAGCAAGTATGTGTTAGCACATACCCAGCCTTTGTCAAAGCTGCTTTGTGTCTTCTATATTGACAGTGACAGAAAGCTGACTAGCCAGTGAGGTTAACAAGCATCATCATTAGAACAGCCTAAATTTGAGCTTTTGGTTTACTGAAGCTAAGCATATGCCATGATTCACTTACTCATTTTTCCTTTAGTTCTAAAATGCTAAAGTGGTTGAGCACCTGATACAGAGAATGGGTTTAAGGAGGGTTGGGAAACCTGGGTGAGAAAAAAAGGCAGCCTTGATTAAGGGTACTTTTCCTTAAAGTATTTCCAAACTTAGAATATGAGGTGTTAAGAATGTAAATTGTGCCAGACAGGTGGTGGCACACACCTTTAATCCCAGCACTGGAGAGGCAGGAGGATCTCTTTGATTTCAAGGCCAGCCTGGTCTACAGAGCAAGTTCCAGGATAGCCATAGCTACACAGAGAAACCCTGTCTTGGAGGTAAAAAGATGTAAGTTGTATTTGAAAATGCTTTGCAGACTTCCAAGCCTTTTCACAGACCTCATCTCTTTGACCTTTAGGATTATAATGAGGCAATCAGGTTATAACTGTCCCCAGTTAAAATGAAGAAACTGGCTCAGAAAAATCAAGTAAAACTTGGGTTAGAATCTAGGTTTCCGACATTAGTCCTTTCCCTTACTCAGGGCTACTTCTCACTCGGTGAGTAAGTGGAGCAGCCTGCTAAACCTCAGTAAACTGTGGTCCTTGAACAGGACCTATAAAGAGCCTGCAGCTTACTGGTGCCTTACCCAGTGAGTCACTGGGGCTGGTGATGGCGGTGAATTGGCACTGCCTTTCTTTCCTTCTTCCCGTTGGTTAGACAGCATTGAGTGCATGGGTAGCACCTTTGCTTGTTTTGTGTGTTCTTCAAATCTGGTGTCTTGTGGCCCTTGGTGCTATGTTGTATCCCTTGTTTTCCTACCGTAGTTGTACTGGAGGTTATGACTTGGATATTACTCTGTATTATAATTTCTTCCTGTAAATCTCTGAAGTGTTTGCTCTGTGCTGTTCACTGAGGAACATTGGTAAGAGTGTGCATTTGTTCCTTGAGTATGAGACATAGAATGTTTTTGTTCTGCCTGATAAGTGGTAATTTTGGTGCCCTTCAGGTACATAATGCTGGAAATAAGCTTGGTAGACGTTGTGATATGTGTTCCAATTATGAAAAACAGTTACAAGGAATTCAGATTCAGGAAGCTGAAACAAGAGACCAGGTGAGTTTCATTAGAGGCACAGAGTTGTCTTTTTTTCCCCCCTTTTCCTATCTGGTTTATGAAGTGTATCTATTTGGTTATGGAATAATCTAGCACATAGTGAAAGCCCAATAGGACTCTGGGTATCCAGGCTTCATTAGCATGCCAACACCATATCAGCCAACTCAGCTAACTTTGTTAGCTCTGAGATGCTAACAGCACCTTAGCTCTTTCCTCTGCACCCTGTTGCCCAGAGCACATACACCTAAACTTGATGCTGGCCTGATCTCACCCTCACAGTGTAAGGTACAGAGATTAGGAAGGTAAGATTTATTGTGGTCTCTAGATGTCATGGTGACCAGAATTTGGACTCTTTGCTTACTCCCTATTTGTAATTTGTTGACTTGATTAATGATAATTCATAGGGCACAGATGTTAAGCTTCCACAGGACTGCTGACTTTGAGGGTAAAGTTCTTTTCCAAATACAGAATAGAATAGTACGACATTGGTAACAATATAGAATTTAACAAGAGTAGGCCTTGTGAAAGCATGTCAGGAAAAGATAATATTTTTCTGTGGTTGTTATGAAGATCATTTATTGCCTTTGCCATGAGACCTTGAAGGAGGTTAGAATGATGATCTCATTTTTCAAATGTCACTGGTATTCAGTTCATCTGTAGTCTTTTTTTTTTTTAACTGATAGTTTACTTGTGAATTTTCAAGCTACTTATAAAACTAAGATCCTATATTGGCCTCTGCTAGCCTGATGTGGAAAAGGGCTGTCTCGGATTCCTTAGTTATTTCTGTAGACTTCTGTTGATGCTTCTTGCGTGTCTGGTGTTTTGCTGGATCCTAGTAATTCAGATAGAACTAAAAGATAAAGGTTTTGGCCCTAAGGAACTTTCAGCATTACAAACTAAAATACAAGTTCAATATAGTTCATTCCTAAAGATGACTATCTAGACTAGAGGACTATGTGCAGCTTAGCTGTAGGCTTGGGAAAGGCAGCCTTTGTCTTGTTTGCTTTAGAGCCTGCTTTCAAATTAAGAGAAGAAACTAGGGGAGGAGAAAGTATATTCAAGGAGGAGAAGTGTACAGAGTCATGAGAGAGAACATGTTCCAGGACACGTCACTGGTATGGGAGTTTATAAGCTAGTGGGAGAAGGAGCTGCAAAGAAGGCCAGGGAGACCAGTGAGGAGAGGGGATTGAGTTTAAGCCTAGCAACTTTGGAGGAAAATTGTTATAACTTCACTTTTATAAAATTTATAGGGTTCATGAGACTTGAAGATCAGAGGCAGGGGATAAAGTAGACAGGGAGGCCTTTTCTAGATCCTAGAGGGCCTAGCAAAAAAGAGGTTTTCAAATGAGATTATGCATGGGAAAAGCTGTTGCTAACTGTAGAGCATAGTGTAGCTCTTGAGGTCATTCGTTTCTTTCTGAATTGACAAGTGTATGACACTTCTCAAAAAAATATTTGGAGTTATTTATTTTTAATTTAGAAAAAGTTGTGGGCTGTGGGTATAGCACGGCAGTAGAGCCATTCATTACTAGAGTGCATGAGGCCCTAGAATTAACTCCTAGTGCCTCTGTAAAAAAAAAAAAAAAAAAAAAAACCAGCAGGGATGAAGAGATGGCTCAGAGGTTAAGAGCACTGGCTGCTTTTCCAGAGGTCCTGAGTTCAATTCCCAGCCATCTGTAATGAGATCTGGTGCCCTCTTCTGGTGTGCAGGTGTACATGCAGGCAGAACACTACATAATAAATAAGTATTTTAAAAATCTCAACTGCTTCCTTCTTGTTGACTTTTTAAAATATATAGGTGAAAAAGCTGCAAGTCATGCTAAGGCAAGCCAATGACCAGCTAGAGAAGACAATGAAAGAGAAACAGGAGCTAGAGGACTTTATCAAACAGAGCACTGAGGACTCAAGCCACCAGGTGAGTGATGCATGAGAGATAACTAGCGTGTTATAAAATTTAAAAATTCAAAAAGTATAGTTATTTTATTTCTTTTGCTTTGAAGATTTGGTGGTTTTATTTTCTCTTGATAAAAGGTTTTACTGATCTGTCTGTCTTTTAAAAAAGGATTTATTTATATTTTAAATGTGTATGAGTGTTTTGCCTGCATGTATGCATGTGTACCACATGCATGCGTGATCCCCTGGAAGGTCAGAAGAAGGGGTCAGATCCCCTGGAATTGGAGTTACATGGATAACTGTGAGCACCGTGTGGGTACTGGGACTCAAACTCAGGTCCTCTGCAAGAGCAGCATGTTTCTTAACTGCTGAGCCGTTTCTACAGCATCTTGTTATCTATTATTCAGGGTTTTTCTTTTGAAATAATCAGTTAATGTGTTTAATGCATTTCTAAGGGATTTGAGGGCTCCAACATTTCTTTTTTGTGTTTCCTTTGTTTTCCTTGGTGCACAAGAACCTCACTGACAAGAAGCCAGGACTTGATGGCTGGGACGGTAGCTCAGTTGGTACAGTGCTTGTCTAGTATTTATTAAACATTGACTTTGGTCCATAGCACTTTATAAACTAGGGGGTGATGGTACATACCTCTTATCTCATCTCTTGGGAGGTAGGGGCAAGAAGGTTAGAAGTTCAAGGCCATCCTTAGTTATGGAATTGGAGGCTAGTCTGGCTGTTTGAGACCTTGTCTCAAAAACCAAAACAAGGGCTGGCAAGATTGCTCAGTGAGTAAAGGTGTTTGCCACTGAGCTTGAGTTCAGTCCTGGTTCCTCCACCACCACCTGTTCTCCTCCTCTATTATAATTATTATAATTTTTGCCATTATTGAGACAGGGTCTCTCTACATGGCCCTGGCTGTACTGGAACTCATTCTATAGACCAGGGTGGCCTTGAACTCACAGAAATCAGCTCCAAAGTGCTGAGATTAAAGTCATGCATCGCCATGCCTGGCAAAAATTGTATCTAACTATACCACTATTTATCAGAACAGCATTTGAGAGATGCCTAGGTGTGTCTAGTTGTTGACAATGGGGAATTTTCTGTGAAGATTCTTACATGTCTGTTGGTGGGTACATGGGCAGACTTCTCTTGACACAGGGAGACATGGTGAGAGAGACTGGGAGGTGGTCTCATTGGCTTACCCTTCAGCTAGCTCTTCTAGCTGTCTTCCCCAGCCATTAGTTGTTCAAATATTTATGTGTAGTTAGACTTCTGTTCTTCTATATGCCTTTTTTTAATTTTATTTTTTTAAAAATACTTTTTCTTTATTCTTGAGACTTTCATAAATGTGTTTTCCATATTTTGTCTTTTGTTTCTTTAAGTCCATCTTTTAGTTCAGTTATTTTTCTTTAAATGTTTACTTCTCTGTAAAGCTATCCATTGCTTAGGTAATTGATTTTTTTCCATTTATTATTTAATATTGGCTATTAATTATTATCCCTAGTTCTCTGATAATTCCACATCTTGTCATTTAAGCCTTTGAATAAGGCGATTCAGTAGCTAATAGCTCATGTATCTGTACCACTGAAGACCTGTATCTACTGTCTGGTTTCTTACAAAGCCATTCCCTTGTGTATTTGTGTTAGATGTTGTATATTCTATAAAAATGAGTAATGAGGGGCTGGAGAGATGCCTCAGCAGTTAAGAGCACTGGGTTCTCTTCTAGATATTTCTGAGTTCAAATCCCAGCAACCACATGCTGGCTCACAACCAGCTGAAATGAGATCTGGTGCCTTCTTCTGTCTTGTAGATAGAACACTGTATACATAATAAATAAATAAATAAATCTAAAAAATGAATAATGAATGGGCTGGGGATGTAGCAAAGTGGGTAGAGTGCTTGCCTAGCATGCATGAGGCCCTTGGCTCATTCCTCTTACTACAGGTGTGGTGGTATAGCCTTCTAATACCAGTACTTGGGTGGTTGAGACAAAGCTGAAAGTTCAAGGGCATTTCCTTATGAGAGGCAGGTAACAAGTGATACTCACGGTCCTGCATCATTTTATGCAGTTACAGAAACTGAGATTGCATAAAGTTTTGAAGGTTAGATTATTTTAAAGTGTTCATTTTCCTAAGAATGTGGTCCTGTGGATCTGGTTTACCAGGTGTTCTCTTGGTGCATCTCGGTTTCTTTCTTTTGCCATCCTCGTTGGCTCTCAGATGCCCTGCTCTGCTCTGTGTCACAGCTGTTGTAGAATTGGTACTTTTAGAGAGTTGTTTCAGACACCGTGCCCCATACTCTGTATTAGTTGTCCAGTGTCTTCAAAGAGATGCAGTTTTGGGTCGGAGAAATGACTCCAGAAGTTAAGAGCACAGACTGCTCATGTAGAAGTCCTAAATTCAGTTCTCAGCATCCATGTCTGGCCACCGACAGTGGCCTCTAACTCCAGCTCTAGAGATCCGATGCACTCTTCTGGCTTTTGAAGATAGTGCACTCACATGCCCAAGTCCAAACTCAGACATACACATAGACACATAATTAAAAATACAACTAAAATCTTTTGAAAAGATACATTTTATATTTTTTTTTCAAAGATTTATTTACTATGTATACAGTGTTCTGTCTGCATGTATAGCTGCAGGCCAGAAGAGGGCACCAGATCTCATTACAGATGGTTGTGAGCCACCATGTGGTTGCTGGGAATTGAACTCAGGACCTCTGGAAGCACAGTCAGTGCTGTTAACCACTGAGCCATCTCTCCAGCCCTACATTTTATATTTTTATACAGTGTAATTGTCAGTAGTTTTGTTCACATCACTCTATATGTCATTATTAGAAACAAAATTTTTTTGCCTTTTTTCGTTGTTGTTTTTAATGTCTAGACAAAATTATTTCTATTAGTTTTTGTGTGTGAATGATCAGTTTTAATAATCCCTTCCCCAGGAATATTAACACTAATTCAGAACAGTTCAGAGTTGAGTGTTATTAATCTCTCTTTAGTACCTACCTTAGAAGATCGTAACCAACTCAGAAAAGATTCATTCATCCTTTCAAGGTGTGCTGGCTCTTTTCTTTCTCACCTTCCTTCATTTTAAAGATTACATTTATTTATTTGTGTGCACACACACGTGTCATACATGTATATATGTACGGCCATGGCACTTGTGTATTGATCACAGGACAGCTTGCAGGAGTCGGCTCTTTTTTCCCCCATTGCTTTCCCTTTGCTTAAGCCCCAGGCTTCTAGGTTTTTTTTTTTATATGTTTGTTTGTTTTTTTAACTTCTTAAAAATACATTCTTACCTAGGTCCTGTGGGTTCTCATCATTCCCAGAACCAATTGCTATTGTTTGTTGGTGTGAGTCGGCATGTGACTTAAGCTTCCCTGATGCCTTGGGGTACCCAGAAGTCTTGCCATATAGCAAGGGCACACATTGGTTGAGTGAAAAATGAGTGGTTGCCCTGGATTTTCTGTGGAGTAATGGGATGCAGCGCAGCTTCATACAGTGAATTTGTAACTGTTTGTTTTCATGTGTGCATCTTCTGTTCAGATATCTGCACTTGTCATAAGAGCTCAAGCCTCCGAGGGCTTACTTGAAGAGTTACAACAGAGCTTTTCTCAAGCAAAGAGGGATGTTCAGGAACAGATGGTAAGTCAGTGTTTGAAATTCTTTCTCAAAATTATCTTTAATATGACATTGCCTTGCTCAAAGTAGCTACGGTTATATACTCCAGGGCCTACAGAACATTTGTAATGCTAAAATAGTGTACAGACATCATTCCTTCTAAGCAGAGCTCATCCTACTCCATTTCATCTTTACCTTTCCTGACTCAGAAACCTAATCAGAGTAAACTGTGATAGACCAGTATTTAACTTTCAGTTTAAAGTGCAAGCTAAAAGGATAGAGATAATTGTCATCTTCAGCTCACACAGCTTTTGAATACTTGTGTGTTTTTCCTGGGCAGTTTGTTTATTTAGAATAACCTTATTAATTTCCCAGAATTTATATATTTGTTGTAGCTCTGGAGAGCTTTCAGGAGGTCATTAGATATGAGGGATGGAAGCAGAACTTGATGAGCAGCGGCCACCAGAAACCTTGTGTAGTTCTGAGGCTTGGGTCTCCTTTCCTGCTAGGCTGGCTGTATTGGATGACTCTGTATCTAATGGTCGGGGCAGAGTTGTTCTTTCTGGATACTACAGAGCTTTCATTTATCAAGTGCTTTCACGGGGACCACAGTTCTAAATATCAGAAGATTACAGGTGGGATGGTTGTATTTGTTTTTGATTGACATTCAACCAGTGCCTGAATGGCAACTCAGCCAGTCCTTGGACCCTATATATCTGGTCCATGGGAATCCTCAGATCTTAATTATGGATGGGAAGTTCACATTGTTTATTTAAGTAGAGAAGACAAAATCATAATTGTTAAATTCTGAAAAAGCTTCATGGAGTTGTTTCTCACATCTTTTTTCTTCTTTTTATCTTTTATAGCCCATTTGCCTCTGTGGAAGTTGATTCCATTAAAAATAGTGTGTATAGGGACATTGGAGAATTGATGGGATTCAGACTGAAACTTTTTGAGCATTTAATTTTCTCAAAATTATCATGAATGGTTCTTATGTTGTGAAAGAGGAACCTAGTGTCTTAGGCTCCTACAGAGTGACTGTGATAGGGCTTGGGCACCTTAACATTTCCCCCTTTGCATTTTTAGACGCTTCACGCTTGCAGAAAGTTGTGGAATTAACTTTTGAAAGACTGCCATTTCAGCTGAGAGAGCTCGCTATATAGGCCTGACATCTGACCCACAGTGGAAAGAGAGAACCTACTCCAGATGTGGTCCTCTGATCTCCGTACACATGGTTATTCATTAACTTATAAAAACAACACATAGACAGAAGGACCTCCCACACCATTTCCCCTTTTCTGTTTAAACAAAAAGGAAGGCTTTAACTTTAACATAGTAAAATTACCTATAACAAAACATATCAAATAAGAATTACAGTTATAATATTTATATTTACTTTCTCTTATCATAACTAAGGAAAACTATAATAACAACTATAAATTCTTCAACTCTATCAAAGACTCCAGAAGGATATAATATTAGCTAAGTAAACAGGAGGTGGATTGTAAGCAACTTCCAAAACTCTAGAATTGACAGAGATATCTCGCTGCCTTGACAGCCACCCAAAGTTCTTCTGTACCATTGGGGCATCCATCTTCAGTCTACAGCCCCATAGTATCCAGCAGACTTTTCCACGAAACAGGAAATTTCAAAGACAGTTCTGCCTATATTAGCAGTCACTTTCTTCTGTGTCCTGCAGAATGTCTGGCAGACTCTTTCATGAAGCAGCAACCGTGAAAGACCATCTCACCCTTAGACAAGTTCAGCAGTCATTTCTCTGCAGGTCCTGCATGTTCAGTTAAGCAGTCTAGGCAAGAGCAGTCGCTTGCCCAAATGGCTAGCAAACTCCATAAGGAGCCCTGTCGATGCCCGTCTTCCTCTTGCAGTAGATTGGTGCTGCCAGGAGCAAATGTGTCTCATTGTCATGATAAGTCCTAAATTCTTAAAACATTTTAAATGCCATATTTTGAATGTCTCTGAAAGATTTGAAAAATACCTATCTAATTGAAATATATCTCTATACATCTAGAAAATCTAACATGACTATAAGCTTGACTACTATAGATGAGTATCTATTAATTGATATTTCTTAATTATGTATTACATTTTTTAATGAGCTACATAAATACAGTACCTTAATCAAGATCAGAAATACATATAACAAAATTGACCTTAAATTTGTATCAATAAATCAAGATCCATATCGATGCACATTATTCATATCTATATCATACTTCCCTTTAAATGTAAATAGACATTTATAGACAATATATGGGAATATGGGCATAGTTTTTTCATATTGCTTCCTGGTGATTATTGGGCATAGTAATTTTTGGGGGGTGTTCATGGCAACCTTCGGAGGGGTCTTGTTACATCAATAAACCATACCAGTCTGGAAGCATTCCATATGTTCTCATCCTCTGTGAAAGCAAGAGAAGAGCCTCTTTTCCAAAGCAGCATATCCTTAGACCCAAATTTGGATGACATGATACCTTTATGATAGACATGTTGGTTTAGCTTAGCAGCCCATACAATGAATACAATGAAATGTTTCTCTGTACTTAGGTCATTCACAGCCAAAAAATTCAAAAATAACACAATAATATACATAATCCAGATTCTCTATAAATTTTCCATCTTTACATGGCTTATTTTTTTTACTCCTTTTAATCTATGACTGTCTATATTCTGTCTCTTCATATACTTTACCTTTTAAAAAAAATTATTTACTTCTTTTTATAACTGTCTATATTCTTTTTCTTCTCTTTCCCAAGCCTATACATTTATCCAACACTGTGACCTATTTAGAGGTCTTTTATGTCTGAATCTGTCCTACTGTGTATCTGTAATTCTTTACTGTCCAGGAGCACTTTTTTTTTTTTTAATTTTTCGAGACAGGGTTTCTCCGTAGCTTTTTTGGTTCCTGTCCTGGAACTAGCTCTTGTAGACCAGGCTGACCTCGAACTCACAGAGATCCGCCTGCCTCTGCCTCCCAAGAGCTGGGATTAAAGGCGTGCGCCACCACCGCCCGGCTTCAGGAGCACTTCTTAAAATGCTAAGCGCTTCTTAAAACCTTAAGCTGTGTCATTGCTAGGGAAAATATGGTATTACCTGCTTGCTCTGCACAGTCCAGCATGGCAGAGCTGCTCGCTAACCCCAAGAGCCATGTCCATTGCCCCGTCTCTAGGCACACAGCAGGTCCATGTCACCATTTAAGCAAGTCTGCTCACAGACCCCACTCAATTGACCTGTAGCCGGACCTCCAGAAAGAGTCAGAGTTCGCGCTAGTCAGCACGGCCCAGAAAGTAGGCATTTCAAAACAGTGCAGCTTTTTTGTCTGCTGCTGAGTCAGGAAAATCTCTTTTAAAGGAGCTGCAGCAAGCCACCAGGAAACAGCAAGAAGCTGTGTTAAGCCCGGCAGTGGTAGCGCATGCCTTTAATCCCAGCACTTCGGGAGGCAGAGGCAGGCAGATCACTGTGAGTTCGAGGCCAGCATGGTCTACAAGAGCTAGTGCCAGGACAGGCTTCAAAGCTACAGAGAAACCCTGCCTCGAAAAACTTAAAAAAAAAAAAAAGCTGTGCTAAACTCTGTATTTTTGTGTCTAGAATTCCTTTTTAAGCTTTCTCAGTTTTCAAGTGGATTTTAGTTCACCCACATTGGGCGCCAATTTGTTGGAGGAGGGAGCTTGTTGGTTCCCAGTTGCCCAGCTAGCTTAGACCTAAAACAATCACACAGAAACTGTATTATTTAATTCACTGCTTGGCCTATTATGTGTGCCGTTGTAGAATGCGTGCTAGGCTAGGTACAGATTGAGGTGATCATAAGGTACAACCAAATAGCCTCAAGAAAGTAAAGCCAATAATGTATAACCGAAGTTTGTATATGGCCTGCTCATCACCCACCTTGGGAGATATTCTTTAACTCTTTTGCTAATCTCTTCCTCCTACTTATGTGTCCTTCATCCGTGTATTGTTCACTAAGCAGCTTTTGTTATAGCACCATGTTGTAGTGAGGGTAGTTTTGGCTTTCACTAAACTTTTCTCTTCTACCACAAGCTTCTCCAGGGAATGTATCTTTGTCTTTGGACTCCTAATAGACAGAAAAATGCCTCCTTTCCAGTAGTGGGTGACAAATAAAGATGGCCTGAGAAAGTGATCTGCTTGTGTGTATATACATTTGTAACAAATGACTGAATATTAAAAATCAACAGAAAACTGGGCATGGTGGCATATGCCTTTAATCCCATCCCTGGTAAAGCAGAGTCAGGTAGATCTCTGAGTTCAAGACCAGCCTAGTTTATATTGTGAGTTCCAGGCCAATGAAGGCATGGATCCTCTGTGTTGGGTGGCGGTGAGGGAGTGGTGTAGAGGCTTGAGGCAGAATCTTATGTTGCTCAGGCTGACCTTTAATTTTCTATCCATCTGAGTCTTACTTGATCTCTGGATTCTATGCCTGGGCCTCCTGGGTGCTGGGACCATGTGCATCTTCAGAGAAACCCTAGATCCTTTTGAAGACATGTAGACTGAGGCTGCTCAGCTCTTCAGTTGCTCCTGGATGCTAATACTGTATGTGCAGTGGGTGTAAGGGAAGATGGAGGTACTGCCTTTTCCATTCTTCTGTGGAATACTTGTTCTGTGTGGTATAGATCTTGTTTGTGCCAGCCAATTCCATTGAGCTACAGAATCTGGTCCCACTGTGTTCTGGGAGACAAGAAGCTGAATGTTTTTGAATTGCTGGTAGGATCAGTATAGAATGAACTCCCATGCGTGTCTCATTGCCTGACTCTTGCTGAATTGATGGAAAGGCTATAAATAAAAAGAAAATGGGGTAGGCCTGCTGGAGTGTGAGATGGCTCTGCAGGGCAAGATGCTTGACCTTAATAAACATGGAACCCCAAAGAATGATCTCCACAAAGTTGTCCTGATCTTCACACATACATGCTGTGCCGCACACATATCCACAACAATAAATTTAATTTATGAGCTGTGTGTATGTTTTTAGAAGCCTTATATAGTTTTATTATATACCACCTCATCCTCAAATACCATTTTATTTGGCCTTGTTCTTTTCTGATGTGGTTATTACTAAACTGGATTTACCTTCCTAGCTGTGATTAGCATCTGTTTCTGTTTTAGGCGGTGCTGATGCAGTCACGTGAACAGGTTTCGGAAGAGCTGGTGAGGCTACAGAAAGACAATGACAGCCTCCAGGGAAAGCATAGCTTGCATGTGTCATTACAGCTAGCAGAAGACTTCATTCTCCCAGATACTGTGGAGGTAATGTATTTGCACATCATCAAAAACATACAAAAAGTTTACTTTTTAAAATGGTTGTAAATTTTTTTAAAAAAACTTTATTAATAAATTTCTTATGCCAAATACTTTCACTTTTAAAAATGTAATTCATTCTGTAGCATAGTGATACATGAAACCACATCAATCTGTTAAAGGGGTCTCAAGAATTTATTTAATTCTGTATCTCACTGATACAGAACAGATTAGATGCTGCTGTGATCCAGCTGCTGATCTAACCGCTCCTTCCTTTGGCCCTAACCACCGGAGCAAGCGAGCTAAGTCACGAATGCAGACAAGACCACATACTAGGGCTCATAACCCCCAAAAGCCATTAGCTAAAGGGATCAAAATCCTACAACAGCATAGTGATAGGTAAACGTCAATTTTAAAATTTGTCTTTGAAGTCTTGTCTGAGTATGTAGTACAGTTCTAGCCTCAAACTTGAGGTTCCTGCCGCTGTCCTCCCCAGTGCTGGGATTGCAGTTGTGTGCTGCCACGCTCCCCCGCTTGAGAGCATCGCTGTCTGGGTTGGAAAGATGGTTCAGTGGTTAAGAACACTGGCTGTTCTTCAGAGAACCTGAGTTTGATTTGTCTGTATGTCCAGTTCTAGGCACCACTTCTGTGTGTACTGACATACATGTAAGCAGAAATCCCATACACATTAAAGAAGAAACCCCAGATCTACCAACCAACCAAACAGAAATCTCTCCTTACGCTTCAGGAATTGTTTCTATTCCCCTTATTCCCAATTCCTTTTCTTTATTGGGAAGTTTCCTTTTTCCTTTTTTATTTTTGTCTCAGGAGCCCTTGTATTTTTAAATGTGCAGTGTCTAATTTCTAAGTCTGTTTTATCTGATGAAGACGGAGGAGAGTCACCTCCTGTGTCCTGGCTTTCCTCTGAAACAGCCTTCCTGTCAACCTGTGAAGGCATTCTCCTCTCCTGCCTAGCTTGCCATTTCTGCTTCAGATACAGCTTTAAGTGACTCCCACTCTGCAGCAGCTGCAGAGCATTTGCTACTAAATTACATAAAGACCAGCTGTCTAATGGTATGGGCTCTCCTCAAAGCTGTTGTCCATACATTCGGATTCAGTGTGAGGAGTTGCCTGAAGCCAGTGGCAGTGCCAATTAACAGCGTCTGTCTTTCACTTTCACTTTGAACAGGCATTTTAATAACTGCACAGACCATTGTTCCTGAGATAGGACTTTCCCCTGACCCTGTCGATTCTGGAGCCTCCTTACACTGAGGGCGCTTGTCTTCCAGTTCTCAAAGTGGCAGGCTTCTCTGTCCTTCTTAAGTGGATCCTTTGTCATTCTTCAACCCCACATTGGGCACCAAAATGTCGCGGCACAGGTGTGGATTCATGTGGGTCTGCTAAAAGAAAGCTCAGAGATAATTGAGAATGAACTTAGCCATTTGCGGCCGCAGAGCTCACCAACCTTGGTGAGCTGAAGCAACCATGTATGGCTGCTGCTGCTGCTGCTGCTGCTGCTGCTGTTGCTGCTGCTGTTTCTCTTCCTCCTCCTCCTCCTTTTTTTTTTTTTTTTTTTTTAAATCTGGGCTGGTGAGAAGCCTTAGTAGTAGGTAAGGGCTGCCTGCTGCCAAGACTGCCAGACAGAGTCCCTAGGACTCACATGTGCTGAAAGGAGGATGTCTCCTTATACGTGCCATAAGCCAGGGTCTGTACACTCGTGTATAAACATAAAATAATGAGTGAAAATTGTTGTTTAAAATTATTTTAAAATTAAGTATGAGTTGGTATAGTGACTTGGCCTTTTAAATCCCAACACTTGGGAGGCTGGGGCAGGAGGACTGCTGTGTGTCTGAGGCACTAATACTCCATAGTAAGGCCAGTCTGCACTACACGTGAGACTCTGTCTCAAATAAAAAATTCAAGTGAAACAAATTTATCTTTTATAAGTTTCTTGTAGTCTTGTCTTTCCCTAAATCCTATGAGAGGTACATTCTATGTAGCTTTCCTCTGTGCACATGTTAACATCACTACAGTGGTTTTGTTGGGTTTCACTTTTAAAGACGCAGTTGTTGATCATGCCCCATTACACAGGCTCGCCTAGGTCTACACTCTCAGGAATGCTCTTGATCCTTTCCTAACTGGTAACTACTGATACAGAAGACTTGGGAGACTTGTGCCTTTGTCATGAACTTTAAATGATGTCACCACCACCTTCATCTCTGGTAAAACTTTCCTTTTTTGCTGGAAAGTTTCTGTGTTCTGTTCTCTAGAGAATTTTTATTCCTAGATTTAAAAGCTTTCTAAGATGAACATGGTGGTGCTTGCCCAACACTCTAGAGACTTAAGGCAAGAGTTCATGAATCTGAAACTAGTCCTGGCCAGCTGGTGCAACATACATGAGCCCCATCCCCCAAGTCTAGGTAAATGTAATTAATTAGGAAGCTATTTGGGAATGCCAATTTGGGTTTGCTTTAGGATATGATTACATTTCTAGAAGATTTAAAGTTTTTTTTGGAAAAAAGCCAGTTGTGGTGGCATATGCTTGTAATCCCAGCACTTGGAGGCAAAGACAGGTAGAGTTCTGTGAGTTGAGGCCAGCCTCGCTCAACAAAACACACCAGTGGGAAGCATATAAGCTTGTCACCTCAGAAAGCCTTTCTTCGTGGGGTCAGTGGGCTATTACTTCCTGATACAGTACTTTGCCTAAGGAGATTTTCAGTGAGAGTTTGCCTGTGTGAACAAGTCAAATGTTCAATGTATTTTATCCTGAGTTTACACTTGTTTCTGAGTTTTTTTCTTTTTTTCTTCATAAAGTTATTCTTCCTAGTGAATTTGCGTGGAAAGTTACATAACTTTTTTTTCTGCACATAAAACAGCTTTGTGGGAAAAACGTAGTTCACAACCCAATTTTCCTGCCATGTTAGATGTTAATACAAAAACATGTGCTTTCAGAACACTGTGTGGTCAGCGACAGCCATGGTCTAAATATTTGAATCATGTGGAACAAATCTCCACTTTTTCTCACCTTCACAAATCCAGTAACCTCTGTGCACTGAATGCAGGTGCTCCGGGAACTGGTGTTAAAATACCGTGAGAATATCATTCATGTGCGGACAGCAGCAGACCACATGGAGGAGAAGCTGAAGGCTGAAATACTGTTCCTAAAAGAACAGATCCAAGCAGAACAGTGTTTAAAAGAAAACCTTGAAGAGACTCTACAGCTGGAAATAGAGAACTGCAAGGAGGAAATAGGTGAGAAGACAATGTCGCTTGGGGGCTGGGGGTGTAGCTTTGTTGGTATAGTCCTTGCCTGGGTACAGGACGACCAGAAGAAGTTCAAGGCTAGCCAGGACTGCAGGAGACCCTCTCTCAAAGAGCAAGCTAACAAACAGTAAATAACCCTGAGCATAACGCATGACTGTGGGTGTGGAGAGCAGGAGTATAGGAAAGAACACTCATCCTGGGTGTTCAGATGAACAGTGGCTGTGAATGCCCTCCTCCACATTCTTTCGGAGCTCTGATGCTAATGGAGCCAGATGGGCAGCATTTCCTTACAGAACTTTATTGCTAACAACATTGCTTTCTTACAGTTAGGTATGGACACTAGGTAGAAATTTAGGTTGCCACAAAGTATGCCTGTGTAGTTGACCTTTCCCTGAGCTTGGTTATAAGGTCAGTTCTCCGGGACAGTTTGAGAGAGAGCACTTTCCTCTATAGTGTATCTCTGACTTTGGGGACATTTTAAGGGGAAAAATGATGAAAATAATAAATGATTGCTAATATTTCTCCCTTTTGTCCTAGCTTCCATTTCTAGTCTAAAAGCTGAATTAGAAAGAATAAAGGTTGAAAAGGGACAGGTGAGTCACAAGTTTAAAATTAATTCTGTCAACATGCTGGTTGCTTATTAAATCCTGTGCTAGAACAAAGCAATGAAGATAGCTGAGGCATAGTTCCTGCTTTCCAGAGACTTCTGCCCGTGGGAACAGAATGGGCAGGCTGGCGTGGTCCTCTGTGGCTGATGCTCGTGGTGATGGGCACAGTATAGATGCAGAGGGACCTCAGCCTGGCGTGGTCCTCCGTGGCTGATGCTTGTGGTGATTTGTCCTGAGCTATGTCTCTTGCATTCTTCACACTAGCTCTTTAGTCGCTTTCATCTCAGCCTTCACTGCTCAGTCATTAGCTTGTAGCCCCCTCCTACTTATTATCAGCCTTCTCTGAGATAAAATGATGACCTGTTTCTCACCATAGTGTAATGCTGATAGGTGCTTTCACTGGCCTCTGTGTTCTCTAGCCTTGAACGTCCTCTTGATTGATCTTCCCTTTGTGTACATAATTGCCCAGCTGTTTCCCATTAAGAGGGAAAAAATGATATGGATGTGGGATACACATCTGTAATCCTAGCACTCAAGAAGCTGAGGATTTAAGTTTGAGGCCAGCCTGTGGTACATAGGAAGATGGCCTTTCAAAAGAAAAAACAAAACAAAACAGTTTCTCCTTAAATTATACTACTCTGCTAAGTCATTGTTTTTCCAAAGTTCTTGAAAGAGTGCTGCCCTCCACCTGACCTCCCAGCAGTCTCTCCCACAGTCAGCCTTTGTTTCCCTGTACTGGAGGTCTCTAGGGCACACTAGACCTGGAGTGTAGCTCAGGAGAAGAGCGCTTTCCTAGCACAGAAAAAGAAAATGCCAGGCTCATGTGCTGCATTGTTCCTCCCTGCCAGTTTGGGTTCAGACTTTACTTTTTACTTTTTTTGGTGGTTCTGGGAATTGAATTCATTTGTATGCTATTCATTTGTAGCTCTGTCCCCCAGTTCTGAGATGTGACTTTTCATTGGCCTGTTGTCACAGCCTGACTTGTTTCCTAAGAGACCTCTGGGCTGGAGCCGGTTCCAGTTCCTCTCTGTATTGAAGCCAGGCTGTCTCAGTCTTTTTGAAGTCTTGAGCAGTTGAGGACAAGTCCTTAGTGCAGAGGTCTCTCACAGTCCCACGCTGCTGCAGGCGGCCAGAGCTCACCGTCCTTGGGCAGGGCAGCCATTCTGTTTGTAGACCATCTCTTTACCTTGCCACCCTTTCCTTCCCCTGGGGAAATGTTAATCCATGCTGGCAGCGCAGAGAGGAAACAGGAAAAGCTCAGGTCCAAGGCCTGCCTCGGCTGCAGAGCTCAAAACCAGCCTGAACAACAACAAAAGCAAGATCCTGTTTCCAAAGGGGGTGGAGATGAGTGAGGCGTGTTTGCCTAGCCTCTGAGACCCAGGTTCAATCCCCAGTACTAAAAGTAAAGGTCAGCCATCATCTTTTCTAGAAGATACTCTCTAAATTTTCTCCCTGAATTAAATGCTGCTCCCTTTATGTTGATATGCATTAGTTATTTCCCTGTCTGTTTCTCCTGACCTCTCAGTTTCAGGCCTTAGAATTAGAATGATAGATACCTAATACGGAGGTAAAGACCAGGTTTGCAAGAACAAAAAGAATCTATACTCTGAAGCTTTAGAAGAGCATTCCAGGCACAGCCAAGAGCAAACCTGAGTACTCTGGGTTGCAGACACCTCTCAATAGTGCTGCGAGACCTTCAAAATCTCTGTGTGTTTCAGTTTTCCCTGTTGATTCCCTTTTCACAGTTGGAATCTACATTAAGAGAGAAGTCACAACAACTTGAGAGTCTCCAAGAAATAAAGGTTAATTTAGAGGAACAGTTGAAGAAGGAAACTGCTGCTAAGGTAATTATGTTTATTGGTCATTTCATTTAAAAAACAAGGCTCAGGTATGGCAGCGCAGACCTTTAATCCTAGCACTAGGAAGGCAGAGGTGGGTAGATCTCTGTGAGTTCAAGGCCAATCTGTTCTACCTAGTGAGGCCCTTTCTGAAGCAAACAAAAATTACAAAAAACAAAGGGGCTAGAGAGATGGCTTAGTGGTTAAGAGCACTGGCTACTTTTGCACCGGACTAGCGTTCAGTTCTCGGCACACAGTGGTGGCTCACAACAGTTTGTAATTCCACTTCCAGATTTGATATACCTTTTTGGTGCACACATTGCGTACATACCCATATACAAACAACCACTTATATGTACAAAGTGCAATAAACACATATTGAGCCTAACTTGTGATGTGGGAGTGTCATATCAATCTGTTGATTTCATTGGTTAAGCAATAAAGAAACTGCTGGCCCTGATAGGTTAAAAGGATAGGTGGGAGAGTAAACAGGAGGAAGAGGAAGTGAGGTCAGACTCTGCTCTGCTTCCGGACAGACTCGACAGTTCTGCTGGAACAGAGACGCCATGCTCAGCTCTCCCAGGCAACTCCAACCCAGAATGGACATAGGCTAGAATCTTCCCGGTAAGCGCACCTTGGGGTGCTTACACACATCATTAGAAATGGACTAGTCCAGGTGCGAGAATTAGCCTGTAAGGGCTAGAGTTCATGGGCCAAGCAGTTCTTAAATGAACACAGTTTGTGTGCTGTTATTTCGGGCATGAGCTAGCCAAGCGGCCGGGGTGTTGGGGATGCAGCTGCTGGAAGCATTTCTCTGAGCTGGGTGTAGGCGTGCCTGCAGTTCCTGTTACTGGAGGCCAAGGCAGGAAGACTGCTAGTTCAGAGGCCTTAAAAAGGCTACCAGGTAGGCTTAAGGCCAGCTTTGGCAACTTAGTTGAAGTGTTTATTTTTTAAAAAAATAAAAATAAAAATTGAAAAGGTGTAAAAAAGGATGGAAAAGTGGAGTAGGGACTCGATATAGTCTAGTGGTAGACTGCTTGCCTAGCATGTGAGGTTCAGTCCCCAGAGATGGAAGGAGGAGGGACTGTTTGGAAAACGTTACTCCATTCCATCCCTGTATCAAATGTTAAGATTGCCTCGAAGCAGATTTCCAGATTATCTTGAGTTTGTATAGAATAAAAATGCACGTGGGTGCTTATTGCGGACATTGCCTAGACATGGTTTTAATGAGCTGTGTTGGTGGTCAGTAGATTCTTGTTTTTAGAAAAAGGCTCCCATGATTTTCAATAAGGAAGGCTGGAGGTGGCTGAGGCTGAATGGCCCATATTAATTCAGTGTTTGATCCTAGTAATTGTCAGAGGAAATTCCCTTTTAAGTCTCTGTCCATGTTACTATGACAGCTGTTGATCTTTGAATATATTTCTTATCCTGGTTTCATACCTAGAGCAAGTAACCTACCCAACTGGCACTGTTGCCCTATGGAAAGAGAGACTGGGTTGAGGAAACAGATCAGCAAGTAGAGGTGCTTACTGCCAAGCTGGAAAACTGGCGTTTGATCCTTGGGGCTCACATAGTGGGAGGAGAGAACCAGCTCTCTCCTAAGGTTGTCCTTCTGATTGTCCTCTGTGAGTGCTTCCCTAGCCACCCTACTCCACACACAAATGTAAAAGTGGTACTGGGAGTGGGGATAAAGCTCAGCTGGTAGAGCGTTTGCCTGGCACCGTAGAAAACTGGGTGTGTTGGCACAATCTGTAATCTCACAAGAAAGATAGAGGTAGGCGGATCAGAGATTGAAGCTCATTTTCAGCTACAATAGAGCAGGTTCAGGGGCTAGTTTGGGCTACAGGAGACCTTGTCTTAAATAAAGGTGGGAACCAGTGAGGCCAAGCCTGAGTTTAATCCCTGGGGCCCACATGGTGAAAAGAGAGCTGACTCCAGCAACTTGTCCTGTGACCACTTCTGTGCTGTAGCATGCACACACACACACACACACGCCCAATCAGTAGAAAAATAAAAATGTAATTAAAAAATATTAACAGGAAGGAATGTATGAGTTAGGGTGGTCAGGGTCATCACAAGGGAACTCAATTGGCTTGTTCATGGGAGCTCAGACTATGACAGTTAGGGAGCCTGCATAGAACCAGCCTAGGCCCTCTGCATATGTGATGGTCGTGTGGCTTGGTCTACTTGTGGGACTCCTAGCAGTGGGAGCGGGGCCTGTCCCTAACACTTTGGCTACCTTTGGGAACCTGGTCCTAATGCTGGGTTGCCCTGCCCAGCCTTAATGCTAGGAGAGGAGCTTAGTTCTACTTCAGTGTGATAGGCTGTGCTTTGTTGGCATCCATGGGAGGCCTGCTCCTCTGAACAGAGGTGGGGAGGGGGGCAGAGGAGAAGTGGGAAGAGTGAAAGCTGCAGTTGGGATGTAAAAAATGAAAAAAATTAATTAATAAAGATAAAAGATTACTGGTATATGGAGGCATCACTCAGGTCTCTGCTCTAGTAGTAGATATAGCTTAATGGTGCAGGGTGCTTGCCTAACAAGCTTTGGCCCTGGGTTCAATCCTTAGTATGAAAAAGAAAAAAGAACGGTTGACAAGTTCCCTGTAGTCAGTAACTAAATTTCCTAAGTAATTTTAGGAAATCTGGCTCTTTGGCATAATCTCCTCTCAAAACTTTTATTTTTTAGGCTACGGTTGAACAGCTCATGTTTGAAGAGAAGAACAAAGCTCAGAGGTTACAGACAGAATTAGATGTCAGTGAACAAGTCCAGAGAGATTTTGTAAAACTTTCTCAGACTCTTCAGGTGAGGTGTTTGGGGAACTGCCATGGCCTCTGCAGGAGGGGGCACCGGTGTAGCTGGAGATCTCTGATTGCCTCTGCCACTCCCTCGACGTCTTATCACTTAAGCACAAGCTTTTCCTTTCCCTTCTACCTTGCCAATTTCTGCCTTAAGTATAAGTGGGGTAGGTATTGGAGGGGGCACTGGAGGGGCAGGATACCAATCTGTTATATAGATTGATGAATTTTAAGAGTGTGGGGATTTTTTTCTTCCTCTTTTCTTCGAAGAGCGTAATCTGGTGAATTGATCTGCTGCATGTCGACTAGAATGGTTAAAGTAGAGGGAACATAGGTAGGCATCACTTGCTCTCATCGCCACATTGTTTCTCCAGGTGCAGTTAGAGAGGATCCGGCAAGCAGACTCCTTGGAGAGAATCCGGGCAATTCTGAATGATACCAAATTGACAGACATTAACCAGCTCCCTGAGACATGACACCCTGATAGCAGGATTGTAACCTGCATTTTGGGTTTTTAACTCATCTTTAGAATAACATTATTATTTAACTCTTAATGGAAGACGTCACAGCAAAAGGAAGACTGGAGAAATGCAGGTCTGGAGAAGGCTGCTGTGCGCAGGGACAGCCAGCAGATGTTTCAGAGGGAACACTAACAGGACACCGGACTCGATTCCAACAGGTGTGGGATCAGATTGGTGCCAGAAAAGTGCTGTTTCCTTGCCTGCTTTCTCCAACGTGGATTCCGGAACACATTTCCTGACATGAAAGCAACTTCCCCATAGTGTTTGGAATTACGTTTTCAGTTCATACAAACTGGGAGAGAAGGTTTTTTCTTTTCTGTTTTCTAGGGCTCATCAGTAGCAGTGTTCAGCTAGCAGAGAGGTGTAGTGTGCTGTATGAGTATTTTATATTAAAATATGAAGTGTGAGAGCAGGCCATTGGCTATTGACTGTATTTCCCTCACTCAGTGCATATTTTTTCTTTCTACCATTTTATCTTCATTGGAGGACCTTAAATGCTACTGAAACTTGCCTGAGAATTATAGGACCATGGCAAACAAAGAATTCAACAAAATTAGGAGAATCTGAATACTTGGCTGAGGCAATATATATATTGGAAGTTGAATTTAAAGGAAAAAAGCACAAGAAACCTTGGATGCACTTTCTCTGTACACCGGGATGAACTTCCTTGGCCCACAGGTACCATGGCAAAGGAGAACTGGCACCACCTACCTTTTCCAAGTGTTTTAGTTACTGGATCAGTGGAAAAAATATTAATAAAACAAGCTATGTCTGACATCTAGTACACATGTATAAATCTGCTTATTTTCAGCCTGCCTTAGGGGCGTACAAGTGTCACATTTAAAACGGTGATGGCTTACAGATCATTGTATGTTTGTTTTACAGTTTAGACCTGTGGTGTAAGTGAGCATGCTTACAGTGAAGCTGAGGAAACTTTAGTTTAGTATCTACTTCATTCTTGGAGTTGAAATTTCTTTCCTGTGTGGAGAAGCAAAGCACCCTGTGGAACAGGTTAATCCCAAACAGCTGTAAAGTGGTGCAGAACTCAGAAGGGTGCTTGTGTGCTACTCCCCAGCTGTAGGCTATATGAGAACACCGGTGGACAGTTAGCTATGCTATGTAACTCATGTGGTTCCTAAGTCACAATGCTTTCAAGGAATGTTTGTGACTTACAGACGTATCCAAAAGAACTAGAATTTTCACACTTGTCTGCCATCAATTCATAGTATAAATGGACTTTGTAGTAACGAGTCATTATGAATTTGCCCTCAAGGTCTTTGCTATTTTCTTTCGTAAGTCTTGTGTTCACGATAAAGAATTTAAAAGTAAATACAAATTGCGGGAATAGTGCTACAGGCTTGCCAATGCATGGAAACATTAATTAATTGGCTTGAAGTCCCCTTGTATACAGTACTACTTGGTTTAAAGAAACAATATCCTCACTGAGTTAAAGGGATTTTATTAATTATAATATGATTACATTAGATTTAGGACTAGTCCTTCAGCTCCAAGCTAATTTGTTTTGGATCACTGTTGGCCACAGTGATGGGAAATTCATAATCATTCTCAACTGTCACTCCCCATGAGCTGTTCTGCTGAGACCAAGCACTTTTTTTTTAGACAGGGTTTCTCTGTCCTGGAACTAGCTCTTGTAGACCAGGCTGGCCTTGAAGACACAGAGATCCACCTGCCACTGCCTCCCAAGGGCTGGGATTAAAGGCGTGCCACTACTGCCCGGGTTGAGACCAAGCACTTTACAGACAACTTTTCTCCAGAAGCTGGGGATTGAGCAATAAAGAATCACCATTAGGGGATGTTTCTAGTCTGTACTTGGGACAGATGCAAACTGCTGGGATCCATTCAATGAGAAACACATCCTAGAGGAACAGAAACGGAAATGCTAAGTTTTTAACAGCATGTGGTATGAAATAAACTGCTGCTACACCACCAGGTAGGAAAGAGTCCTTTGAACTTCAATGTTCTGCATAAATGAGATCTGCTTTAGAAGGTGGAATTCACCAGGAGAGGAAAAATCTGGTTCCAGTGCTTCACTCCATCTGTGTAGACCTTTCTCTTGCATGTCTAACCTGGCTTACCTTTACCTGTAACATACCTTACCATGCACCTTCTAATTGGCAGGTTTGAAAAGAGGATCTAAATGTATATGGCAGAACACATTTTTCTTTTCCTTTAAGGTGCTAGAACTTGCACCAGAACTCACTGAGTAGACATAGCCATAGCCAAACTGAGCTCTGAAAGGCAACGGTGCCTGTGAGGAAATGAGCCAGCAGAGGACTCTGCAACTGTTAGCAACTGTATGTAGATCTTCACCTCTGCTCTGCACAGACTGCAGGTGTCTCTGTGTGTTAACTGTACCGAAGGCATGTCCTTAAGAGAGTGTTCAAATTAAAAGAGCTGCTACTGAGTAGACTGTGTGGCCTATTCCTTTGCATCCCAGTTTTGGTTCTGCTACTTAAGATGCCGCTCTTACTCTTCAGCTACAGACCTGGCAGCATGCAGCGGAAGCTCTGTCCCAGAATTTTGAAAAATAAATTAGAGACATTAATTATAAAGCAAAGTCAAATTTTGAATAAAAATTTATTCAAATTATACAGAACAAAAGGAATAACAAGAATAATCACACCAAAGTTTATCCAAAATGCTTCTTTATAAATTAGAGTGCTACCTGTTTGTTTTACAGCATCAGCTTGTGAGCCTTCAGTTGTGTTAACTTCAGGTGGTGTTAGAAGTTGACATGATTTCGGATATCATTGATTTGCTTCACCATTTCCCTGATGTGTTCACCCCTGCAAAATCATCAAATGACTCACTTCAAAAAAATGGACGAGCCATTAGTACTGAGTTATAAGATTTTTTTTCCGCCCCCCAACTCTGAGACAGGTTTCTCTCTGTAAGTCTTGGCTGTCCTGGAACTCTGTACACCAGGCTGGCCTCGAACTCTGTCTGTCTCTGCCTCTTGAGTACTAGGATTAAATTTGTGTGCCACCATGCCCAGGAGTCTAAGGATTTAAACTCTCAACATTGCAATAGACTTAAGAATGGCTTTATTAATTAATTATCTGAATAGCTTAAGAAGGTTTCAGGTAGACAGCAGTGGCTTTTTGTGTGGTGTTGGGGATTGAACCCAAGGCATTTCACATTAGATAGATGCTCTACCACTGAGCACAGCCCCAGGAACACTGCTAACCAATCCATGGGGTGTACTCTTGATCACACAACAAAATTATATAGGAGAGCTGCTGTTTTTCATCCCACCATATTCATTTAAGCCTCTGTCTATCATGCCCCTATTCTACAGGCAAATCCCAGACTCAGGATTCTTATCCAGACAGACAGGCAGCTTTTAGTATATTGCCAAGGAAAAATGTCTCAACAGTAGCTGACTGGAAAACATCAACTTACTCTTCCTTCAGGATGGACTGAATGCACTTCCGCTGGTAGGCACTGAGAGTAATGGTGGGTCTCTGAGGACTCAGCACTTTTTCCATCTTCCGCTGTTGATAGTCTTTTTTCATAGTAACCTTAAGTATCAAACAGAACACAGGTATTTTGACTATGGTTTGCCACACACCTTTACAGTATCTAATTTTTCACATTTTACAGAAATCCATTGGCTACCCTGCACCCATTCTCACCTGTTTGATGGCATTGCCTAGATGTCGTAGTTGGTCAGGTATCAGCTGTAACTCCTTCTTCATGTCTCTCTCACTGTCAGAGAGAACCGGGAGCTGAGTATGAAAACTGTGGAGCACTTTCTTCATCCTTAAGGAAAAGAAGAACATGTAGGTTAAGACTGCGAATTATAACAGAAACACAGAGTTTGTAATTCAAGAATTCAGTGTCTGAGGAGACACATCCCAGAGGAGTTAGGGGACAGTAAGTCTTTCCTGGTACTTCAAAGGGTTAGAGTTCTACTCTATTCTACTCTATAGGTGTGTGAACATTGGCAGTCCTGAGCAAGGAGGGAACTGGATGCTTCATGGTCCACTGACCTGTTCATGATATCTTCTTGTTTTTCTTTGGCTTCCTCATACTTGTCAGCTAAGCGCTCTGCCATTTCCCGCAGACTCTTCCTGGAGGAATGAAGAACTCTTGCAGTCATATGATGTGACACAGCATCTGGAGGGAGATGCAGTTCACTACTCCCCACTGTTTTCTCCTTTGGTTCTGACACCTACCTCTCCTCTCGACAGTAGTTGAGATCTTCTAGTTGTTTCCTCTTTTGGTCACATAATAATTTGACCCTTCATAAAGAAGTAGTAGTAAAGGTCAAAGGAAAGCCAGGCTTCCACAGGTGATCACAATAAGCCAACCCCTAGCAAGGACTAGTGGTGTTCAACACAGGACACTACCTCCGCTGAATTTCTTCCTTGGCCAGGTCTTGCTTGAGAATGTACTGTTCTCGGAACACTTGGGTGGCTCTGCTGATAAGCTGAAGACACTCCTCGGGAGGGGGAGCCAAATCCTTTTCAGATGATCTTTAGAACAGTTTCTGTCATTATTCTCGTTCGCCAGGTAAAATAACCAAACAGACAAATCCTAGCTACCTTTTTTTTGGGGGTGGGGGGATTTGTTTTGTTTTCTGAGACAGAGTTTCTCTTAGAGACCAGGTTGGCCTCACAGATCCGCCTGCCTCTCGAGTGCTGAGATTAAGGCACACACCATCACACTGGCAAGTCCTAGCCATCTCATCACCTTTGTTTAGCACTTTTTCAGGTGCCACTTCTGACTAGCTGATGGGATGTGCCATGTCCCCTTCCATGAACCACAGTTAGGACAGAAAGATCCGAAAGCAAGGATGAACACTTGGTAGCAAGCACAAAGCCCCATTTTAAAGAAAAAGCCCATTCTTAAAACTCATATGGCCCAAATCTCATACTTGAGAAATGCGGGGTTGGCAGCACTACGTTGCAAGATGCTTTTAATATGCTTCTCAAAGGAGTCTGGGGTTTCAGCCAGGATGCGCAGGGGAGACTCTGCCACTTCAGCATCTTCTCGGGTACACAGCAGGGGAGGAGATGCTGGGTGGACTGTACTTCTGCAAAACAAACAAGTCAAGTCCACTGTGTAACTACTTGTTGCATTACAGGATGTCATCAGCCATACTTAGCCTAAATCCGAGGACATGAGGACCTAAAGTACTACTTTTGTAAAACTACAAGAATGTGTGTTCTATCCTGAAAGGTCATCTCAGGAAGTTCCTATCTTGCCATTTGAGCATTTTGGACTCTTTAAAAATTCTTTTTGAGCTGGGTGGTGGTGGCGCACGCCTTTAATCCCAGCACTCGGAGGCAGAGGCAGGCGGATCTCTGAGTTCGAGGCCAGCCTGGTCTATAAGAGCTAGTTCCAGGACAGGCACCAGAGCTACAGAGAAACCTTGTCTCGAAAAAACAAAACAAAAAATTTTTTTGAAAAGATCAAGGCAAAACAAACAAACAAAAAAATTTCATAGCCCCTTTCTTGCAAAGAACTCAAGACAGCACCTTAACACTAACTACTCCTTTTTGGGGCATAGTTTAGGTTGATAAATGGTCTGAGGCCAGATGACTGTTGTGTACTATATTTGCTTCTATATAACTATTTCTAAAAATTACAATCAAGGGCAAGTATTTCCAAAGGCAATTTCTGGGAAAGCTCCAAGGATTGTGAACTTCGGCAGTATGCATCATACTTTGAAGGCAACAATTCAAAGTATTTGGAAGAGCTTTGTAAGTAAGAGTGTTAATATACAGACAACTTGTGTTTTGGACAGTTGGCAGAAAT